TTTAACAAAGACATAAAGCCAGTAAGAGGCAGAGCTGAAATCCAAATTTAAATGCATTCATTGCATAATCCAAATTTGTTCAATGACGCAGTGCCACTACTGAGATGGAAATGTCAAAGGAGAAACAGGTTTGGTTTTCTTTGTTTGGGTGCAGGGGAGGTAGGATGCAGACAGTAAGGTAAAGTAATAGATTTACTGAATAAAGTGCCTATAACACAAATAGAGATAAAATGGCAAGGAAAAAGAATTAGGCTACAGATACTTTTGAGTTCTTGAGTAATTGAGGAGGCAGTGTCTGTTCTAGACAAAAAGATCTAGGGTAGAACCCTGAGACAGGATTGAGAGTAATACTAACAATCAAAGGGAAAGCCAAGATGATAGAGACAGTTGATAGAGAATTCAGGCCGAAGGGCAGAGGTAAAACCAGCAGGACATGGAATCAAGAAAAACTAGGGAAAGAGTTTCAAAGACAAGAAAATCAGCAACGCTAACTGCTGCCAAACACAGCAGTGAAGAAAATAGTCCACTATTTTGTCTTTTTGGAGCAATTTATTGGCATAAGAAGCCATGGACTGAGGAGTGAATGGAATTTGATGAAATAAAGCATGGGCAACTCTTTTAAGAAGCAGAGGACAAGTAAGATAAAATTTAGTAACTGAAGAAGGATGTGGGATCAAAAGCGGCTTATTTATGTGTACACAAGTCTGTGTCAATAGGTGCAAATCCATGTGAGCATCTGTCTATGGTACACAGGTGGATAAACAGGCATGTTTAATTGTAAATAAGGAAACAGAAGTAGCAAAGAGTTTGAGGACTGAAAAACACAAGAAAGAATAAAAATTACAAAGCAAGTCTTTAAGAAGACAGAAGATGAAGTGCTACCAACAGAGTTAAAGGGACTAGCCTTAGGAAAACAGCATTTCCATAGTAATAGGAAGAAAGATAAGGACAGGTGTCACAAAGGCTAAAAGGAGCAATCCCCAACCTTTCTGGCACCAGAGACCAGCTGAAAGACAATTTTCCCACAAAAAAGGGACTGGATTACACTTTCATAAGGAGCATACAACCTAGATCCCTCATGTGCGCAGTTTACAAACAGTAGGGTTCGTGCTCCCATGAGAATCTAATGTCATCCCTGATCTGACAGAAGGAAGAGTTCAGACAGTGGTGCGAATGATGAGGAGCAGCGATAAATACAGATGAAGCTTCGCTGGTTCACCTGCAGCTCACCTCTTGCTGTGAGGACTGTTCCTAACAGGTCACAGACCCCTATCTGTCCAAGGCCCAGCAGGTTGGGAACCTCAGAGTAAAGGTATTTTCAAATCTGGGGTACTGAGTTGTGAGAATTGTCATCTGATGATTTCTCTCTCTCTCTCTCTCTCTTTTTTTTTGCAGTTTTTGGCTGGGGATGGGTTTGAACCCACCACCTCCGGCAGGCATATGGGGCCGGCACCCTACTCCTTTGGGCCACAGGTGCCACCCCCTGATGGTTTCTCTTTTACTTGATATTTAGGAGTAACTTATAGGCAGAGGAAGACAGTGTACTGGCAGAGGTTTGAGAAGAGTGGGAAATCAGCCACTGCAGAGACCCAAGACAGTGTGTACCAGGTAAGGAAATAATGGAAACATGTTCCTGCTGAGGTTTCTAACCAACACAGGCAACTATCTGCAGGGTGTTTGTCATCAATAGCCTGGAGATAGCATTAAATAAGGCAGATTGCCACATTCAACCAGGACTAGAGATGTGCTAAGCAGGTATGACAAAACTGCAAAACAAGTGACTGAAGGACACTCTTAACAAAGTGGCTAAAATGAACTGGGGAATCTAAGCTGATCAGAAAAGCAGGTGAAACAGGAAAAGACAAACAGCAAAAAAGTAGAGAGATCTATGGACTAGAAAACACAGTAAAGTTAAAGAGCACAAAAGGAACTAAGCAACAAAGGAAAGGAGGTTGTGGTCAGACAACAAAATGTCTGAATTGACGATTTCAGAAGTAGAACAATTTTTGGTGATCATAGGTACAATGGTTCTGAGAAAGGATACCTAAAATGATGGGAAAATGCCCCTGGAAATATGTGGAAGAGGGAGCAAGACACATGGACAACAGGGAAAGCAAGACAGGCAAAGGGTATAAAACAGCATGGTGGCTCAGAGAACAGCAAATAGTTTGACATTTCTAAAACCCAACAGGCATCAAGACGAGGATGGGAGAAGAAGGGAAGAGCCAGATCACATATGTCACGGTAAAGAGTATGGTCTTCATCTGGAGGGCAACTTGATCTGAATGACAGCTGTATCCAAATATCTGAATGGCTGTCGGATTAAAAGTCACTTGGACCAATTCTATGCAACAGGAAAAGACAGAAGATAAAGAGAAGCACACCATAAAATAAGCAACATTGAGACAATCATGAGACTCTTGGAAGTGATCAAGAAATACAGTAACATCTCAGGATATAAAATTAATGACCACAAAACAAACAGCAGCTTTCATATAGGCCAAGAACAGTCAAGTTGAGCATCAAATCAAAGACACAATACCCTTCACAGTAGCTTAAAAAAAAAAGAAATACTTTGGAATATACTTAACAAAGGATGTGAAGGATCTCTCACAGAGAGAACTACGAAACCTTGAAAAAAGAAATAGCAGAAGATGTTAACAAATGGAGGAATATACCATGCTCATGGCTGGGTCAGAAAAGCAGTCAAGAATCAACATTGTTAAAATGTCCATACTACTCAAAGCCATCTATATATTTAACGCAATCCCTATTAAAACACCAACGTCATACTTTAAACAACTTGAAAAAAATAATTCTCCACTTTGTATGCAACCAGAAAATCCCCTGACCAGCCAACACAATTCTATGAAACAGAAACAAATCTGGGGTATCACATTACAGATTCAGGTTATACTACAAGTCTATAGTGATCAAAAGAGCATGGTACTGGCATAAAAATAGGAGACATAGATCTATAGAACAGAATAGACAACCTAGAGATGAAACTGGCTTCATATTGTCATCTGATCTTCGATTAACTAAACTAAGGCACAAACTGGGGGAAAGAATCCTTAATGAATAGTGCTGTGAGAACTAGTTAGCCACTTGTAAAAGACTGAAACTGGACCCACACCTTCCACCACTTACAAAAACTAACTCATGATTCATAAAAGATTTAAATCTAAGACATGAAATAATAAAAACTCTAGAAGAAAGTGTGGGGAAAACTCTTAACAATATCAGCCTGGGGAAAGATTTTATGAAGAAGAAAAATCAGGTCCCATATATTTATTTTTGCTGTTTGCACAGTTGCAAAGTTAAAAAGCTTTTGCACAGCTAAGGACACATCAATAAAAAAACAGATAATCCTTAGAATGAGAAAATATTTGCATGTTATAAATCTGACAAAGGGCTAATAACCAGAATCTACAAAGAAAAGAGCAAGTAACACCATTAATCACTGGGCAAGTAACATGAACAGGACCTTCTCCTAAAAAAACAAATGACTAAAAAATGCTGATGAAAAAATGCTCATCATCTCTAATCATTGAAGAAATGCAAATCAAAAGCACCTTGAGGTAGGATCTAACTCCAATGAGAATAGCCCACATTACAAAGTTCCAAAGCTGAAGATGCTGGCGCGGGCACAGAGAAAAGCAGAGAAGAGAATACTTATTCACTGTTGGTGGGACTGCAACCTAACACAGCCTTCTTGGAAAAAGTATGGAGAATCCTCAAAGAGATAAAAGAATACCTTCCATTTATTTAATCCTGCAATCCCATTACAATGTATCTACCCAGAAGAAAAAAAAAATTTTATTATAAGGACATTTGCACTAGAATGTTTATAGCAGCTCAACTCATAATTACAAAGATGTGAAAACAACCCATGTGCCCATCAACACATGAATGGATCAATAAACTGCAGTATACGTATACCAAAGAACACTATTTAACCATGAAAAAAGACGGAAACTTTTAAATTTTTTGTATTTACCTGGATGGAACTGAAGAATATCCTCTTAGTAAAGTAACTCAAGAATGGAAAAGCAAACATCCCATGTACTTGGTACTAATCTGAAATCAGCAGATCAATAACTACAGACCCACATGAGAGAAAAACACAATTAAATTCAAGAAGAAGGAGAAGTGGGAAGGTGTTTGGTAAGCTCACACCTAAAGGGTACAATGCAGGGGAATATGACACACCTCCTGTATAAGACTTTGCCTTACAAATGCAAATATTTATAATTGTATGTACTGTCACATTAATCCAGAATTTAAAAAAGGAAAGAAAGGGCAAAACCTCCTCATGAAAATGTGCTCAGCATCTTAATCATCATAGAAATATAAATTAAAACCACATGAAGCTATTTCATAATCACTAGAATAGCTAAATTACAAAATTTAAAAATTTGGTATTACCAAATATTAGTAAGAATGCAAAGTAACTGGTGCCCTGTACAATACCTGTGGTATATAATGTGATACAACCATTCAGGAAAACGGTTTAGAAGTTTAAAAAAAAAAAACAAAATTTAATATACATTTTCTATCACTCAGTATTTATACTTATGGGTATTTTCCTAAGAGAAATAAAAACCCACCTGTGACTATTAAAAAGAATTGTACAAGAATTACCTGGGACTGAGGAGGGAATTGGACAAGTTCACACCCAATAGATACATTGCACGGGTTATGGCACACTTTTCAGATAAAGGACACAACTATAACTTGGACTTCAACCTTACAAAAACAAACTATGTAACCTAATTGTATGTACCCTCATATTAATCTGAAATGTAAAATAAAGAGCATTCTAATAACTAATATTTAGCTAGAGAGGATGTCTTGGGAAAAATAAAAAGTAAACTCATTATTAGAAAGTGTTTAAGCAAAATTCAATGCAGACAGCCTATGATATTATGCAAAGAATCAAAGAGGGGACCTTTAAGTCCCTTTCAACTCCATGGAGGTAACAGGAAGACATTACTTACCAATTCTACACCTATTACACCTGCACCAATAACAACCATCTTCTCTGGAACTTTTTTTAAAGATAAAGCTCCTGTAGATGATACTACTGTATCTTCATCAATCTATAATAAAAAAAGCAAAAGATACAATCAAAATTATTTAGAAAAACCTAGTATAACCAA